CCTCCTCCATGACAGAAAATGGTCACAAGCATTAATACCTTCGTTATGTGGGATATTGGTGTAGAGGGATGAAACATCAAGTGTAACTAGTAAAGAATTAGGGGGCAAATTACCAATGTAAAACAGTTTGTTGAGGAAGTCATTGGTGTCTTTGATATAAGATGGTAGTTTGTGAACGAGTGGTTGGAGGTAGTGGTCAACAAACTGGGATATCCGTTCAGTGGGGTGGCTATTGGATGAGACAATAGGGCGTCCTGGATTACCGGGTTTGTGTATTTTGGGTAAGATGTAAAATCGTCCTGGTCTTACGTCAGTCTGTAAGAGGTATTGTTTTGTTGTTTCGTTGATGATTTGGTCGTTATGCATCCTGTTAACATAAAAGGTAACACGTTTTTGTATATCAGCAGTGATGTCGTTTGTCAAGCGTTTATAAAATATAGTGTCAGAAAGTTGTCTGTTGCATTCATCGATGTACCAGGTTGTGTCCATAACAACAATCCCAGAACCTTTGTGGGTGGGTTTTACGTTCCTTAAGCGAGCGTATGGCTTGTCGTTCTGTAGGAGTGAGATTGTCCCGGATAGTTTTAGGTTTACAGCTGGTTATGTCAAGTTTAACAGCATTAAGAAAGCTGTCAAGGGCTCGTTCTCGGTCATGTAGGGGGTTCCAAGTGCTTTTGTTGTGGAAAGGGTGTCATTTTCGTTAGTGTTGGAGTTGTCACAGTTCTCGTTAAAAAAATATTCATGCATGTAAGTGCAACAGGGCCTTGACAGACAAACATTTTGACATTCTACCCTAATTCTCAATATTTGATGTTATGCTTTCTTTGCATGGAGGTATAACTTGTGTATGAACTCTAAACTGATTAACGAACATGGTTTGTATGATACAGAGTCTTGATTGACTAATTCAATCATGGTCGAATCACTTTGATTTTAACGTCGAATGCTACAATTGAAAGTCGCCAATTCGACCCTTACTTTCGTTCAACTTTAATAATTAGGAGTAAAAGCAGCGACCACGTACAAAATATGCCCCGAAAATATGGACTTGGGAGAACCTCGTGGGTTAATAAGCTCTGCTCTGAATGAAAGCTGCTCCCAATGAGTTGAAGTTATGGGCGGAGTAAAACCAGAGCCATTTCGAATCAGGCAGCCTTTCTTTGAAAAAATTGAGAGACTCCACCTTTTCATGCATGTTCTTTAATATAGGAAGTATGTTCGGCTTATCGGGACAATTTTGCTTCTGAGCCGGGTTAATTTAGAAAGATCCAAATAAAACTCTTTTACGGTTCCCACGCAATGAACCTCGAAAAAAAGGATTGACTCATAAAAACTGAATATTCAAAGCCTGTTAACATCCGCTCTTCTTGGGCCCCAGAAAACGAAAGGCATGGAAAATTATATATTTTATTTCAAAATTTTTCCTGTATAAAACTAAAGATACACACTTGTAAAATAGGAGATAAATACAACAATGGAATTAAAGTTCACTACACGAGAATAGGAATAAAACTTACTACACCATGAAGAAGATAAAGACTAAACACAAGACAGCCTTTCCCCGCGAGGGGAGGGGGTTTGGAAATTACTTTCTAAATAGGTATGTGTCGAGTACCTCCCAAAGGGAGTATTTGGTGTATTTCACCAATCCTTGACTTTCGCACAAATGCGAAGCTTAATTATGCGGCAGTAAGGATAATGGATTCGCAAAGAGGCCTAAACGGGTATGGAAAATGGCATGGCTTGGTGTGAAATTGGGTACTATTTTGAAAACTGGCCGTTGCACCCCCTCGCAGGAACTGTGTGGAGCGCCCACCTTCCCCTCCCTTTTATGGCATTCTCCTTTAATTAGCCTTTGCTGTCACGTGGTCCTTTAAGCGTTGTCTATTTGATGCTTTTATTTTTCTAGCAAGGTAATTTCGTTGTATTTTGGAAATTCCTTTGTTTTGCTTTTACATCCTATTTTGTTTTGTCAAGAGATATCAACTCAGTTGATACTCTCTTGGTTTCTTGTAACTGTATGACTTCCACACACATTTCCCTTACTTAATTCCTGTCAGTTGTTAGAGTAATATTCCTATTTCCTCAAAGTAAAATCTGTAGTCGTAGGCGCCCAAGTCACTTCCTATCCTATATTAGATTTATATGATTTTAATGATCACTGAGACACTGATCATTAAAATCATGTAAGGACGCGGTCATTATGTGACGCGTTTTGTTAACACAGTTTGACGTCATCTGTGATACATTACTGAACCGATGCAATGCAACATAGAAACTCTTTGCTAAACAGATCGGTTGACAAAGGCATATATAATTGGGCTTATTGTGAACTATTAACTTTCCTAAAATCACTTTTTTGTCGTCGTTTTTTTAACAAATCTCAAATTTCTTAACCTTTATCAATTAGCCTTCCACAACCTGTAAATTTTGCAGCTGATAAACAATTTTTTGGGAAGTTCTAACATGGCCGCCTTTCTTTTCCTTTCTACATCCAGGAATTTGGTCGAAATCCGCAGTAGGCTGAGATACCTTTTTATATTTTCTCTCCCACTCACATTCGCACTGAAAATCTTTCAAATATCCAAAGAAAATCTCGACGGAGTTGAAGTGTGTTTGTCATTGCGTGAGTAAATAGCGTTTTTCACAAAATAATTTATGCTTGTTCCGAGCGGTGAAAACTTAATTAGCTTCCAGTTTTGAGAGTCCTTGTTCCAAAATGTTTCCACTCCTGAGAGGCTGTGAGAAAATAAAAAATAATTTCCGGAACTCCAGGAGCTAGATATAGAGGAAAAGTCTTGTATAGCACTAGATTTTAGCGAGTTTCCCCCGCTACAGATAATCGTTTTTTCGGAGAGTCACTTTTCCATCGCCATGTGGCATTTTAAAGCTTTTTGAAAAGCTCTCTCGAGCGTGATGAAGCGAACGAGTACTCCATGCACCGAACCGAAACAAAAACAAATTCAAATGTATTTCAAATCGTTGTATTCTTCGATAAGACAGTTCATATCATACTTCTGAAAAGTGAAAGTAAGGCTGATTCGTAAGTCCATAGGAAACTTCCTCTGGGCCTTTTCATAGTTTAAAAGTGCAAACACCCCAAAAGTATTGTTTGCTATGTCATGATCTTCGTTATGGTCCAACCGTGACGTCTAACTTTAGTTGAGCTTAGAAAATTTTCCTTTTATTGGCTAAGAATTTAAAACAGCGGGTTAGTCTTTAATGCTTCGACCATTTTTTCACATCACTCACAATAGTCTCAGCCATAGCGACTGTGATTCAGCAGCTGAATTTTTCATCGAATGAATTGATCGCCTTATATCACTAATACTTATTTACCTCAATTTGATTTATACTATAACATTTCTGACCCTAGAATTCACCTAAGCCAGTGACACTGATTAGTCGACTTTGATTCTCATTAACAATTTAGTGATCAACAAGAAGTGATAGTCCTACACGTTCAAAAGTTTGTTAATCCGCGCCTCAATGCTTTTAACGCATAAGAGCAAAAAGATCTCAAAATCCGCAAGCATCTGTAGATAAATCGTATGAGCATTTGAATCCTTGCAGAGGACGAGAGGTTTAGATCAGGGTAAAGCAAACTTTACTTACTTTAGTCTGACGCGTTTCGATCTTTCAGAGTTTCTTCTCTAATTTTGCAACTTTGTCATGCCTATCCGTCAGGAAATTATAGAAATTAGCTCAAGCACTCAGCAAGGTTTGTGCAAAATTAGCATTTTAAAGGTTTGGGAGGGCGTAGGATAAGTGCCTGGGTCGGGTGTCATGAGTAAATTGTCGCGCAGGCGAAATATAGCGCAAAAGTCGCAATGTAATTTTGCCTTCGTTTGGCGCAAAATAGTACTTGGATATTTGTCCACAGACAATATCTGTTTTGAGAAGTGATCACGTTGAGAGAGCTTCGTCTTCAAATTTGGCGCAGGAATTTCTTCTGGTCTTCCTTCGGTATGGACCCAGATGAATTACGGGAGCCAGATTATGATAAATTGGCCCTTTAAAATACATCAATAAGTTAACTTTATCACAGACTTTTTGATAGGAAGGACTTTGTAAAATGAACCTTTATGATGGAACAGAAAAAGGTGTCACTAATACAATATTGACATGATAAGCTGAGTTATACACGCATCTAGATTTGTTCCTTACTTACGATCTATTGAACAGCAGACACAAAGCTAAAAACTCATCCTATAGAGCACATTACTACACCTAATGGCTCCTCTACTCAATATGCATGTTTCACCAAAATTACAGTTAAATTAATTCACTCAGTAAGGCTGCTTCAAGGCTATCAGGGCCAATGACAATTCATCGTTTAATACCACATGGATATGAAACAAAGAGGGAGCAACTGGAGCAACAATATTCCCATTGAGGACAGCTTGGCAAGTGTTGCCTCACTCTTCGGTTTTCCTGGCTTGCCGGAAGTTTCACTCGGAGATATTTTTTCAGCGATCATCTTCCCTTTCTCGTCGCCGGTCAGGTAAGCACCCTGCATGTAGCCGTACCACTCTTTGCTCGTCGCTTCGCCAGCAAAGTACAGTCGCCCCAGGTTTTTTCCAATGTTCTCCCAGTCCTTAGAAGTCATACCCACTACTGCATCCGAATACGCGCCCTGCGTCAGCGGCTCTTTTGACCAGCGGTGATAGTAGATACCTGAAGGTGATGAAATAGTTCATTCTAAAGAGAGCTATCTTGGGTACAAGAATACTTCTTACTCTATCTTCATTGATCTTATGTACAGACTCATTCCTTAGTGCTAAATATAATCGGCTCCTATCTCCTCAATTTCCAATCAACCAGAGAAGGATAAAGACGGTTCATTGGTTGACCAATTGATTGATTTCTAACTCTTGTGCACTTTTTATCATTATTTTATCATTATTATCATTGTCATTATCAGAGACTTTATTGAAGAATCCAAATCCTACCTAACAATAACCCTAAAAAAAACTGCATTCATTTTAATTTTGCATAGCTTAACCATAATAAGAGTTCGCAGGTAAAATTATCAACACAAAAAGCAATTATTTGGAATTCAATATTGTTATTATCATTATTTTAAATCTTTAATTATTATTATCATTACTATTATTATTCATTATTATTACTATTATTATTTATTATTATTACTATTATTATTTTTATCAATAGGGATCTAGAACCCCGAGAAGGAGGAACTTAGACATTAAAGACAGGGATCTGGAAATAGAGAAGGGTCGAGCAAGACTTCCTTAACCTCATCAGTTATAGATTATTTTTATTATTTTTATGGTAAATTTTTCTTATCATTCTTTTGCGTTGAACTTTTAAAGACTTTGCATTTCCTTTGTCAAGAGACTTAAAATTACTGTCATCATTGTTAAAGCTCGCATATTTTTAAGCATTTCAACACATCTCCTTCTTGTAAGAACAAATACTCCCTTTCTTGCTTTAGTATTCTGGATTCTGCTAACAACTCTACTGATCGATTTAAAACTCAAAGAAGCTTTTTATATAAATAAGATCAAACCCGGCTCAACTTAACAAACAATTACAGCATTATAACACTTTTCTAGCGTTTTAGTTCACACCTTTGATGTTTGGTGTCACGTTGTAATTAGTACCCGCTTTTGTATTGCATCATACTGTAAATATTTTATTCAACTACTTGTCTATTATATAATTCCTCACGTTCTGTTACTCATTGATTGAAGATGACATAAGCATGCCGAAACATGTCTGTCAAAAAATTTGTCTATTTCTTACAATATTTATCATACTTGCTACTACTACGACCTTATTGTTATCATTATAATCATTTTTATTATCATTATTATTATCATCTTTGTTATTACCGACAAACTCGAAAAGTAAACGTAGACGAGGTGTGTTTTTCTTAACTTCTGATGGACATTTTAATGTGTTTTTCGATTTTTAGGGTTTTTATCAAACTTTTGTAAATATTTTTGGTGATTATTTTTATCAACATTTTCAATATTATTATTATTATTATCATTATGATTGTTATCATTATTTACATAACTTCGTTAATGTTGAACTTTTTCCATGTTGAATTTTTTCTTTTATTCAACGATTTACTAAGTTACTTACTTAGCTGGATATGTTCTCAGGAATGATGACTCACAGAGGAGGACAGTAGGAAACAGAATATGGCTTTTTCAACTTCAACAGTAGAATTCATAGCCAAACCTGCTATAGAAGACATTTTTTTAACAACTCCCACAATTGACTAACTTTAGAGGAGCCATTACCATTTAAACTGAAGGCGTTTTACCTGTTGCCTCAGGGATTGTCTTTCCATAAATTGTTTTCAGCATTCCCATGATTTCTGCCTTTGTTTCGTTAAATGATTGTCCCTCAATCCTTCGTCCTTCAGCCCCTGTCACGGTGATCAGTAGCATTCCACTCGAAACGGGAAAGATCCCAGGTCTTGACAGGTCCTGCCATACAGGGAAACGCCCGCGCTGTTTGGAAGCGAAAAGGATGTATTCGTGATCATCCCAGAACTTCTTTGGAAATTTTAGAAAAATTTTCGTGTACGACGACATCGGGTTTTTGAAAATGGCCTCTTTTTTCCAATCTGGAAGGGCTGGCTCAAAAGTAACCAAGTCGCTTGCCAGAACTCCGGAGCTGAATGTACAAAGAGCGTAATCTGCCACGTAACTCCAACCATCGGAGGTCTGTACTTCAACGGAATCGGAATTACGCTTGATTTTTGTGATTAATTTTCCCAGTAAAGTTTTCGCTTCCAATGGCTTGTGAAGATCCTCATACATGGACCATATCCCACGCCCATCAGCGATGAAAAAGTCTTCTCCGCGCTCGAACAAACTGAAAAAGGAAACCTCTTCTGGAGGCTTCGCGAACTCGAAATCGAAGTTGAAATATTCAATGACGTTTTCTATGGGTTGTTTAGCTGACCATCCCATCAGCTGCATACCAACTCGGGCGGGGAAGTCTGGCTGGCCTTCCCTTTTTTCTATGTAATCTTCAACTTTGTGCTCGATTCTGTCATTATACTCACGTAGAACTGCAAAATCAGTGATATCGTTTCCCCCTTCGTCCCTGCAAAAAAAATAGAAACGAGTTTTAGATGGATACTTGTCTCAAAATAGACACAGATCCTCCTCGAAAAAAAAAACTTTTGCTTTTGGAGGAGCGGAAGGAGTCCATTCCAAGGAAACCAAGGGAAAATCAGTAAGTCATCATCTGAATGCTTTATTTCGCTAAAATGTTACGGGTTTACTAGACTTTGTTTGTGTTAGTGGATATATTTCAACCTGGGTTAAGTTCATCGAAAGGCAGATTCCAACGAATGGGTTTTAAGAAGAGGTCCAGCACTGACCGAATCGGAATATGGCGTCCAATTTGAATTTCCATTGTTCTGGATTTACCAGACTCTTACACATGTGATAATCCTTTCATGTTTCCACGTCAAGACGAGGCTTGTAAGTCCAAAACAATGGCAATTCAAATTGGACGCCATATTTCGATTCGGTCAATTATCCATGGAAATTATCTCGTGGGTAGCGTTTTCCGCCCTTGGAAAGCAGCTGCTAACATTACTTCAAACCATGCGAGTCCTCGATATTCCTAACCCTAAATGCTGAAATATCAAGGGCTCGAGTGGTTTGAAGCATTCTTGTTCCCAGATCCTTCGGTTCTTTGAAATCATAGCATTTGAAAGTTGTGCCGCGCGCTCTTTTATAAGCATGCGCACAAGTCAATGACTTTTCCTTTCCTTATGAGGTGCGAGTTACCAGAGTAAGAGGAGGAGGGTGCCCATAGATCTCCCAAGAAATTTGCACTCTTTGTGTGTATGAGCCCTAATAAAAAAAGATCTAGCACGCAGTTCCCTCTTACCCCGAGTGGTCTAGTACTTTCTTACCTCACCAGTATGTCTGAGTAATTAGAGTCAAGACCATGCATTTTATTTGCGTCCCTTCGATCCAAAATAGGTTTAGTGTCGCCGTCATTCACAAAATGAATCCAGTTTGCGCCCACTTCAATGGAGTGGTTAGCAAACTGGATTGCATGCACTCTTCCTCCAGTGTAATTCTTCCCTTCCAAAATCAGAATGTCGGTGATGTTTCTGTCCAATAGCGTTTTCGCTGCTTTCATTCCAGCCAGTCCGGCACCAAGGATGAGGACTTTAGTTTTGTTTTGTTTTATTGGTGACTGAGACAAAGATCTGTCCACCAGAAACAATAAACTCAGAACCAGGATGACTCCCGAGCCGATTTGCATTCTGCAAATAAACAAGTCAAAATATATTTCGCTGAAATGCTATTATAATACGTTGATTCTTGTAAAAGATTCAAATTTAATCTTTAATTGGTGGATTGATACCTTTGCAGAGGCATGTGTGTAGCTTTATTATCAAGAGATTATGAAGGGTCCCAACAGGGTTAACCGACAAAAAAAAATTTTACACCATTAGGTGTAAAAATTGATAATTTTTAACCGTTAGCCCTTAAAAAAAGTTAACCGTTTAAATTCTGTTTTAGACTTGACGGAAAGAAATTAACCGTAAGCCATAAAGTGACCAAAATTTTAACCTTTAGCCAGCATAAAAGCCATTACCTCATTGAGAGCCTCGATCAGCGCCCTTGATTTCGGAGTGCACTCATTTGCCACAATATGTGGTTACACGAAAACATAATAATATAGTAGAGTATTTCCGCTACAGGTAAAAATTTTTTTTTTTCTTCTTCAGTTTCTAACTAATGCATAGCTAAGGTACTTTTGCTTATTTTTGATGATTTTCACATTTCTAGAAGCACTTTTCGAACCAAATTTTTCATAAAGTTTCCAGGATTCTCGCACTCCAGTGGTTTAAGACACATTAAATCCTTCCACCGTTTGAAAAAAAGCATTAAGCAGTATTTCAGACATATTTGGAGGCTTAACTCTCACGGTTAATAACAATTTATTATCCAACTACATTTCGTAGAGTACAAATAACGCCATTAACGAGTACAAATATCACACGGTATTTGTACTCTAATAAAGTCTTTAAATAATAATAAAGTCTTTATTCCATTATAAGATAAAACTACATATCTTATGTTACAATGAATTCGGGAAAACTACAACAGAAATCTACATACATATTATGATGCTTACATACATATAATAGATGTCTCTGTGCATGATGGCGTGCGGACGTGTATCTGAAGGCTCCACGAATTCTGCCGAATTTGTTGCCACTGAACCTTCTTCGTCTCCCTTAAACTAACATCGACATTGGGACGACAAACAAAGTCTATTCGAGTGGAAAGGGAGCCTAACACAACTTCAGGAATTTTGTTCGAAAGTCCTGAATTGGGAAGTTTCTGCAACTGCGAGTCCCTCTGAAAGGTCTAGTTCTTTGAAGTTGAAGACAATCACGTTGGTTTTATTTAACAGTACCGGTACCCTCAAATCCAAGGTCCGGATACAAAAGCAATGAAAGCCAAACTGAAGAAGCTACTCCAGTTACCTGTTGATGACGACTCGGTTATTCTCGTGAATGAAGAAGAAGCTTCTACTCCGGC